AAAAACTATGTACAAGGCTTTAAACAGCCAATTTTGAAGCTAAGTACCATCAAGTGTTACTAAAAATAACAAGACAAGACCAATTTAATACGGGAAATACATTTCGGAATTAAATTTTACAAACACTCAATTCAAGGTTTAAAGCAAGAAAAAAAGAAAATTCATACTAAATGCAGTCTTTGAATTTACAAGTTACGACAGTAAAATATATAAAAAAAGCTTAGGGCACAGGAAACACAAGATAAAATACTACCTACGTGAGTTTAATGCTATATCAATAGGTCAGAAAACAAAAATTAAATAATATTTAAAACAAATGAATTATATATTTAACATCTATATTTTCACAATCTCTCCACCTAATTGTGTAAAAATAAACTTCCTAAATTCATATGAATTGAAAGCCTGTTTAACATCTAAATTTCTGCTAATCTGATAGGCATAATAACAAATGAATACTCCACAACTCATGCCATCATTCTGAATAGCGTGATTGGGAAACGAACAATACCAATTATCACATATATCTAAAACATTATTAAGGATACTTTGCCACAAATGAATTAATGAATACACAGAATTTTGAACGGCATTAAAAAACCAAGTGGATCATAAAACTGAAACATTCTATCTCTTAATCTTTGCAACAAGTAAAACCCAATGATTATTATTGATAAGAGCTGGAATAAAAAAGAAATCAACAGATGCAAAATCAGCTTTTTTCCATACATTTTGAGTTTTATTACCTGACTGAAAAAATGGTGTATGGTAACATTTGGCAGCTATGGAAGAAGTATTATGAAGAATGGTAAAAAAAAAAAAAAAAAAAAAAAAAGCATCAATAATATTGTCACTAAGCCAGCCAAGCTGAAAATTATTATTTACAGCCTTCAGGGCTAAAATTTCTTCATTTGAAATATAAGGATCAAGAGATTTTATATCGAGAAATGTTAGAAGTGTTTTCCCCAGCTCGCAGAACACATTTTGAAATATCAGGATACATTAAGCTCAGAGGTAAAAGAATTATATTTAAGTAAATTGCTACCCTTAACCTTAATTGTGGTATCCTGTGATGATTTATGATCATTCACATTAATATTATTTGATAACCCTAACAAACCTTCCTTGACATTTTTTTTATTATAAGTATCGGGATAATCTAGAATTTTACGTTTTATACCTTTCATAGATGTTGTACGAAACAGAGTTTGACGTGATAATTTTAAATTTGGAGCAACCTGAGTAAATGGCATTTTATCAAAAAAATCTTTCAAATGGTTTGATTTTATTGCACCTTTACAATTAGAAACTATATCTTTTAAATTCTTTGTTATACTAGGTATTAATATCTTTTGGATTGTCGGATGCGGCAACATAACTAATAATTCAGACATTAAAGTCTTACAAGTGTTAATTTTAGGTTCAGTGTTACACACAACAGTATCTGAAATAGCATTAGATTTTTTAATCAATTCTAGAGGGGAGGAGTTTTCTTCTTTAAGGATATCTGTTGCAATTACAGAAGGACTTGGTTGCCTGCATGTAATTGAGTGTATTTTATGTACGTGTTTACATAGTGTGCTGAAGTCTGGACAATTACAATTATATAAATGATGACACAGATTTAGACAGGAGAGGTTAATACACTTTGAATAACAATGATCTGTTTCTGAACATAGTTCATGCAACCGCTTAACTGTATATTGAATATTTTTACGTGTCTGTAATTTTATAGACCACAAACAAGGATGTGTTTCTGTTACATCACTATCAGGTATTTTCATTCCAGATTCATGTCATTTATTATAAGTTGGCGGGTAGATGCTCTCTTTACAGTTAATTTCAACTTTATACTTATAAGCCATGTAAATATCTTCTTCAATTTTTAAAAGCACATTAATTAAATTATCGAGGCGTCTGTTAAATTTACGTTTTAAGTACATAGTTTTCAATTTATTGTGAAATGACTCGCAATACATGTTAGTATCTGTGAATGCATGAGGGAAGTTTCTGTATGCCATTGACCACAGATAATAATACTCCTCAAAATAATTTACAAACGATGGTGCAACAGCTCGAAACTTTTGAAGGAAATTATCCATCATAGAAATAAATAAAGAAGAATTAGTTTCTTCAAGCAATATAACTAAATTAAAATAAATTTCATCCCTAAGTTTTTGACTTGAAACCATTCGAAATAAACTACGTTGCCATGCACGATGTACATGCCATTTACATAGTATATGTTTAATACCTGGACCAAATGGTTTTTCAAATGCAGGATGTGTAGTTTTATCATCATCTGTCATTAAACAATTAATATTAAGCTCAGGTATTACACATTTGATACTAAGAAATAAATTGTACATCGTATCCTGATCCAACTGATTTGAAATAAAATGTGCTACGGGGTAACCACTACCAAATTCATCTGGGACAATTAAATTTAGCAAATAAAAAAATCATACTGATTTGTTTTGTGAGTAGAATCTATACATAAAATCCTGCTACAACCTTTAATCATCATTTCTTTTTGCTCCTTTGTCTGCAATCCTAGTGCAAAAGACAGTGTGTCAAGGCCTTTCGGACCATACAATGTTGGTTTTCCTTGAGGTTTGTAAATAAGAATAGGGTCATACGATTCCTGCCTAAGTTTCTCAACTATGGCAGCAACAGAAAGTGAATCATCACTAAGAGAAGAAATCATTACACGCTTTACATAGTAATTTATAGTCCTACATGTTACAAAATTATCTTTAATACTTAAGCTCTCTCTATTATCACGTGATCCACTTCCATCTCAGATAAATTCTTGAATTTGATCGGTGGAAACACCTAACTGAGCATAAGTTTTGATTTGATCACGACAATTCTGACTAAGCTGTTGAAATTTGGTATTTTCAAACGACAGCTCATGATTGTGACCTGAATAAAAAATAGCTGTCGCAAGATCTTGTTCCTCAGAAACTAAAATTCTGGATGGACATCTGAAGCCTAATGGTAAAGAACCTTTAAGATTTTTTCTACTTGAAATTGGCACTGGTTTTTTTTTTTTTTTTTTTGTTACAGTGAAGTGACAACAATAATAATGGTATGCTTTATTAACTTTATGTTTACTTCCCAGAACACTTCTTAAAAGAACTGAATGTTTCCTTAGAATGACATTCTAACCACAGCTGAAACTCCACCATTGATGAAAATGTAAGCTCCTTCACATCCATCTCAGAATTGTGAAATTCAGCCAAATGTTTATTATGATCACTAATAAACTGGAAGGATGCCTTGCAATCAGGAAAAACACACGGTTTACGAATATTTAAATTATTTTTAGAACAGCAAAACTTCTTATGATGAAAAAGGTTACTGCGGGTTTTACAGTCTATTTCACAGTTGTCACAAATATATGATTTTGAATCAATTTCAGAAGACACAGATTTACACCTTTTTTTATGATTAAAAAATGACTGTCTTGAAGCATATGACTTTCATGCATACCTCGCACGTTCTTGGATATTTATTTTCTATTTCATCATTCTTTATGGTAGTACATAAATTATCCTTATTTAAAATTTTACAGTTACGTTTCTTTACAGATAATCAGGCAGATTGAGATTCCAGATAGAATTTACAAACACACTGATGTAGTGTGGACAGAATGACAGAGAGAGTTGGAAAAAAGACCAAATAACATCAAAACAAACTGGAACATGCTGATTAGAAATCAATGCACTGAGAAAAAATCCATGTTTTAAAACATCTGAGTAAAGTGGCTTAGGAGGTGGATCCAAAAAATTTACACTAGTGCCAAGTGAATATTCAAGAAGTGGAAAATCTGATAAACTCGGAATACTGGGATTAGTATTCAAAACAGAGCTAGTAAAACAATCATGCTTTAAAACATCTGAATAAAGCGGTTTAGAAGAAGAAACATGGCACAAAAAATCTCTAGAATTACAAACCCGAACACTGGAAACTAAAGAACGTTTCACAACATCTGAAAAGAGTGGTTTGGAAACAGAAGCACCAAGATTACTACCCAAATGAGTACTCAGAACAGAAGGAATACTGGTTAATGCTGGGAAACTGCTAAGGGATGTAGAACAAAATGGTGCACTTACCTCTGCAACAGTCAAACTTATCCTGATATCTTTTACAAAAATTTTCCCCAGCTGCTGATTACCTCTCCGATTTAGGTGTAAACCGTCTCTGGATAAACAAGTACTCCAAGAATAGTCAAAAGAGCTGCAAAAGAAAAACCCATCTTTACCTTCGTATGTTGCGAGAAATCTTGAATTTATGTTTAGTATCTTCCTATTAAGTTCTTGTAGGTGATACGTGTTACAATCTCGATATAAATCCGGGCATCGTGGGAGAACACCTGAAAACAGAATGACCTTCGGGTTTAATCGTTCAATTCCCTTATATAGACAACCATATTTACGATGAATTTCATCTAAATCGTCATTTGAATTATTGGTACCAACGTGGACAAAAACTAAATGAAAATGGTTGTTCATAAAGGCAATCTCACGTGTCAACCTTTCAATCCTAGCTCCTGAAAAGCAACGAAAATCAACTTCGTAATCAGGTAAATTCGCAGACAAATATTCTTGTAAATATTTAATCATAGAATCCCCGATTATGAGTATTTTCATCTTTTCAGATTGCTTAGACAAACACATAACTAAAATAAGATAATTAAAACACAAAATATCAGCGCTAATACTACGTACCTTGCTTCCCCCACAGCAGCACGTGCAAGCAAAATGGCGAAAACGTGTATTGCTTACTTCGAAAAATTACATTTGGCTTCATTTTTCAATTTTGGCGCAAATTACGGTAACCTCTTAGTGTTGCCATCGGTCACGTGAGACCCGCTAACTTCCGTAAACTCTCAGCGTTTGTCGTCGCATATATCTGCAAACCTCGGTTGAAGGTTGCAACCTCCTACAGTATATTATCTCGTGTCCACGGGTTTCCCCCGCCTTTTGCCCAATCCCGGATTGCTTGCCTTAGGATTTATTTTGCTGTGATATCAAGAATCAAGGAAATGTATTGCCCTAAAAAGGTGCAACATTTGAAAGATTTGAAAAGAATAAAAATTCTTTTCAAAATTTTTTTGAATGTTGACTCCTCTCTCAAAATTTATTCCTGGCCCTTTTTAAACACGAAATTTAATTTAAAGACTTTCTAAGAGTTTTCTTTTTTTCTCATGCGGAAGGCATTATCTGAAAAGCTTTTATTTTTATAATTAGGCTTCAAAATTTTCCCTTATTACATGAACCCCTCTTTTGATGTAATTATTTTATCTCCGATGATGTGGAGTTAAAGGCCTAGCCTAGCGCACTCCGTAAATTAACTTCCTTGATCCTTGATCTTTGTTGGATAGTTTTTAAATAAGAAGGGAGCGGAAAATTTTTGAAAATTGCACCTAAACGGCACAGAAGCTATACTGCTGGTTTTAAGCTTAATGTAATTTCACGTGCTGAACAAATTGGAAATAGAGCAGCAGCTCGAGAGTTTGAAGCGGACGAGAGATGTATTCGACTTTGGAGAACTGCAAAAGAGGAACTTAAAATTATGCCACAATAGAAACGAGCCAAAACAAGTGGTACTGTAAGGTGGCCGAATCTAGAGGACGACCTTGCAAACTGGGTAAAGGAGCAACGAGGAAAGGGAATGCCAATTTCGATTGTAAAAATTCGCTTACAAACAAAATTTACAGCAAAACAAATGAACATACATGATTTCAAAGGAGGGCCTTGCTGGTGTAGCAGATTTATGAAAAGAAAAAATATTTCTGTGCGTACAAGAACAACAGTCGGGCAACAATTACCTGTTATGTATTAATCGTTTTATTTTTTTAAGCTTAAGTTGTTTTGCTTATTTCAGTTTTGATTTGTAATTGAAGTTCTAATTTTTTTTTTGCTGTTTAAAGTAGGTTGTAAGTTTAAATTGTAACTTTTGGTAAACTTTTAAGTTTTGGTTAAGATGCTTTAAAAGTTTTCTGAGTTGAAGCTGTTTAATTTTAATTTAAGTTTAGGGACTTAAGATTTTTCGTTTTTGTAACTAGTTGTTTTGAACCTTAAGGTTGTTTAACTTTAATTTTATTTTAAAGCCTTGCTGTTGCACTTTTGGTGTGTTAATTCTTTTTCTTAACCTCAAGTAATTTAATTTGTATCCCTCTTTCTTTTAACGTTAAACGAATATATACTTTCTGACTGGCGGTAGAAGAAAAAAAAAAAAAGAAAAATATTGATTTTATTTGTATTTCATTTTGGATAATATGTGAGTGGACTTAAATTGTGGCTGAGGAAACAATTATTACAGTGCTGACATTTTATTATGAATTATAATGTTGTGTAATTAGTAGCTTCATTTTTTAATTTCCCAAAGTCATTTTGTATTAACTTGGTTCAGAGATTTTTCACTCCTTGCCCTCGGCTTGGATTTCTTCCAGCGGAAACTCTTATCAGCGGTTGTACTGCACCCCACAATTCCTTCTACCAAACGTTCCACCATCTGTGATGGGGGGGGGGCCGAAAGCGCTGGACCGTTTTGGAAAAAAAAAAAAAAAATAGTAAAACAATTTTTTCGAATCCAATTTTATTTTTACATGAAAATAGATGTCTTAAACTATTTTTCAACACGGTTTCCGCAAATGATCAAACACTTGTCATAGCGGGTGACCAGTTTTTGTATACCATCGTCAAAGAAACTTCCCGCCAGTTCCGACAACCACGACTCCACAGCATTTTTCGTGTCATCGTCAGATCCAAAGCGCTTGCCACCAAGCTCGCGCTTTATGTGCAGGAACAAGTGATAGTCGGACGGCGCCAAGTCCGGGCTGTACGGCGGGTGATCGAACTGCTCCCAATGAAACTGTCGAATTAACGATTGAGTGACACCAGCGGTATGGGGCCGAGCATTGTCATGGAGCAACACAATTCCTTTACTGAGCATTCCTCTTCGTTTGTTTTGAATGGCGCGCCTTAGTTTTGTTAAAGTCTCACAATATCGTGCCGAATTAATGGTTTCACCTCTGGGAAGAAATTCAGTAAGAAAAACGCCTTTCCTATCCCAGAAGACAGTGCACATGATTTTTTGTGATGACATTGTCACTTTGAACTTTAGTTTTTTCGGAGAATGAGTGTGTCTCCACTCCATCGATTGTTGTTTCGATTCTGGTGTGAAATGACACAACCAAGTTTCATCACCTGTCACAATTTGGTTTAAAAAGTTTTCTCCCTCATCACTGTACCGCGTGAGAAATGTCAGGGCATTACCAAGTCATTTTGTTTTGTGAACATCAGTGAGCATTTTTGGAACCCATCGGGAACACAGTTTGCGATAATTCAAGCGGTCAGACACAATTTCGAAAAAAACAGTACGTGAAATTTGTGGAAATGCCTCTGAAAGAGTTGTCATTGTGAAGCGTCTGTTCTCATGAATTGCTTCATCAACTTTCCTTACCAAATCATCGGTGACAACAGAAGGCCGACCAGTCCGAGCCTCGGCGTAGACATTTGTTCGACCTGCATTAAACATTCTTACCCACTTTCTCACCATTCCATCACTTATCGCGTATTCACCGTAAACTTCTGTCACTTGACGATAAATTTCGGACGGTTTAACATTCCTCGCGTTCAAAAATTTAATCATGGCACGAATCTCACAGTCAGCGGGAGAACTAATTGTCTTAAACATTTTGAATGTGCACAGCAAACTGAAAACACAACATAGAGCAACCAAAATGGCGACAATTTAAAGTCAGTGAACAAGAAAGACTAGTGCGCATGCGCGGGACGCCTACCACAACGCTGCGACGGCGCTAGAATGAAACAATACTTAGTTTCCGTGTGTGTGTGTGTGTGTGAGTATGGCAAAGCCTCGGAGGCTATCTGCCTAAGAGGAGGGATGCCTTCGTGGAGGACTTTCTAAGGGAAACTGGCTCGTATACACGTTACACATGGGGAAAACCACGAAAACGCCCATGCAGCCAGCCCGTTCGCGGGATTCGAACCTCGGACCGAACTACCAGTGTTCAGCGACTTTACCGCTCGGCCGCTGGTGGGCCCACTTAGTTTCCGAATACGCTACGTAGGATTTAATATATCTCATTAAAGCACTTTTTACTGCATTTCGCGCATTTTTTTCACGCGTAATTCTTGTACAAACATCTTTACTTTGGTAAAACGGTAAAAACTAAGCACAAAATTTATGGGCTTAATTTTGTACAATTTGAAAACTAATTTTGAAAATAACGTAAAATTAAATAAGATTGATAGTACGTAATGCTTTGAAATAAATAAGGTAAAATTAAACAAGATCTGATAATTTTTTTAAAATTTTAATGACCATTTTCAAAATTATAATAAGATTACAAAACAATCATTTATTTAATTGTATCATCATTAACTAATTAACATTAAAGTGGAGTATTTATTTTAGTAATTTATAAAATTCGGAGCATAAACTTTTCTGAGTGCAATGAAGGGAAAAAAAAAGGTAAAATAAAATCCAGAAGCACTCAGATTTTATATTACGCCCAAAAGGAACCTTTTTTTAACGTTATGTGTGTTACCTATATTTATTGAATATCATGTTCTTCGCCCGTAAACCACATGCATTTGAAAACAGCATATCTTTAGAATTTCCGCACTGGAGATAAAACTGTTATTTTCCGTACAGTTCTCGCTCTGAACTCGTTGAGTTTGTTAATAAAAAATTCGTTAAAGTTCTACAAAATATGAAATAGATTAAAACAAATTCGAAATCTGGCCGTCCAGATGACCATGTTCGGGTGGAGGATTACATTATTCAAAATTTGATGGCTCAAAGTACTGTCGTTTTTGTCACAGTGCGAGAAACATCCATGTATTTATGCAGATTCTTCATTATTTAATTTCTTTAAATATAATACAGACGGCGATAATATTTGGTGGTAACAATTTGCAAGGAGACAACGGACATTTGTAGTAATGCAACAGCGCAAAAATGCCGCTTTTGAAACTAACAGCCTTTCTAGGCTACTGCCCCTTTGGGCCTAATAAATTCAATTAACAGTAAATAAAAAAATCTTATGCAGAACTAAAAATAAATAAAAAAAAAAAAAAAATCACTATAAAATACAAGCAAAATTAATTATTACAGTTAAATACAATTTTAATATTAAAATTAAATGCATAAAACGTTTCAGGAGTCAAAAGTGTTTATGACTATGATGTATTATGAAATATAATTGAAATAAAATTCTCCTTTATAGAAATTGTGCTATAATACTTATATATTTTTCCAATTTGATCAAATTTTCTTTTATAGTTACTAAAATAAACAATTTTTTTTATGAAAATTTTTTGTTTTAAGCATAATAAAAAGCAAGATAAATCAGGGTGTTTGTGGGACCCCAAAAAATCCCCTGAAACTTTTACGGACTTACTACCGACATTTTGGAGTTTCGAGAAGGGGGGGGGAGAGAAATGAAAAATTACAATTATGAAGTATTGAATGACCTAATTATAAAAGTTCAATGAATTACTTTTTTTGCAAAATTAATAACCATAAATTTTCAAACATATAAACTACTACATTTTATGTAAATATTTTAAATTACCTGAATTAATTCTTTAAAAAAAATTATATAATTTCTGCTGTTTTTTTAATTTTCTGATGTTTGTGGGCTTGTCTTTCTTTTGTGGTGAACTTCATAATTGCTAATGCTTTTTTTTCGCTAATGTAGAAGGTTTTTTTCAGAGACTTTTATAGGTGACTCATCTGAAATACATGTTTTTAAGTCCTCTTGATATGTTTTCCAACTTCTGTTCATATTCAGTAAGAGATCTTTGTGAATTGGATCAGTCATTGGATTTTTTTAGCCATATTTTTCACATGAGGTTTCTTTA